ACGTTAGCTACTCTGGTTTCTGGTGTTATCTAAGCGATTTCGACGCTGGTTGTTTTGTGACAGGTGTGCGGCGGCAAGAGGGGAGGACCAGCAGAAGTGCTTGTCCGGGAACAACTGCGGCTTCAAACCTTGCGCTTGCGGGCCGCCAGTGGCTGCAGCCGAGAACGAGCGGTTCTACTGCCGGTGCGGGCCGGTATGCACGTGCAGCACCACTTGTGGTGCTTGAAGAAGCGATGTTTGAAGTATGATGAGGATCGATGATGCGTTTGCTTTGGCAAAAATAACTATAACCTTACTTAATGTTGAGAATGCTTAAGAATATTTCGACATTTGACCTTATAGTAAAGAATATGTCGGGCATAGTTATATAGTTAAGCTCTTTTAAATGCAAGTAATTTGAGACTATCAATGTAGTAGAATTCCAAAATTATAAAATAAATATTTTAAATTAGAAAAGTGTCGTCTAAAGCATATATTATATGATACTGTGGTCGACGTCTTGTAGCATGGCACTGGAGTCACTTTTGTATATGTGAGATTGCGAAAGGGACTTTATAACCCAACTATGTTGTGATAATATGTTGAAAAATGACGGATGTGGACGGTTTTAGCAATGAAATCAAATACATTTCGTGCGTGCATTCTTTTTTTATTTATAAGATGTTTAATTTGATTAATAAAAGAATTTAAATCGCATGCGAAAACACAGTAATGAAGATATCTTATAAATAAAAATCATGGGGAAAGCATACCGCGCTTTTCTCTTTATTGATGGCTATTTTTCTGACTATTTGTTATTAATTGGACAAGCAAAATTATGCTGAATTTTTTTAGTTGTAACTTACGAAAATAAATATCGTATATAACTTAAAATAGCTCAAGCCGGAGGACTTTTCCCTCGTCCAAGGGTGGATTTGTAATTCGTGATATAAGCAGCGGCATTTTAAACCGGAAAAAATTGTAGAATAGTACTATAATGTAAATCTCGAGTACCCTAATTTTACAAGATTTTCTGCATATAAGCCAAAACAAATTCTAATTTGTTGAATGTCAGTCGGAATTAAGGCCATGTATTCAATGCTGGCAAAAATTGAGAGAGGGATAAGAGCCAATACGACATGTTAGTTAATCGCGTCATCTTCAAGCAATGTTCTTATCTGTCTATCAATATTATATAGAAAGCAAAATTTTCAAATTTGATGTCTGTGAATTGTGGTCCATGTAATGTTGTCCCTAAACTGCCAATTTGTTCAATGTGATCCATAAATTATTGGTAAATGTCCAATTTAGTCCATACATTATAAGAAAATGTTTAATGTCGTCTTTAATCTAATTCAATTTGATGAAGTCCTTTGGTGTGTAATCCGTTAAAAATGTTGGAAAAAAATAAGTTACGTAATCCATGTTATCGCACAATGGACATATTAACGCTCTAATTCTTTCTCCTTCTCTAAAGCAGATAAATAAAACGAAAGATATATTGACTCGTCAATTTTAAAAATTCAACTCAACATATAATAATCTACGTTATCAAATAACGTCTAATTTGTCGTTCAAGTAAAACGGAAGGACTACATGGACCAACAGTTTTGGGACCTTGTTGAACAAATTAAAAGTTTAGGGACTACATTTTACATTGAACCTAAATTTAGGGATTATTTGTATTATGTCACTGATGAAAAGACAAAAGTAACCCATTTTTTCATTAATTAATATGTTGCTAAAAAATGAGAAAAGAGTGAAAATGTGGTGCATGGTGGCGACCAACTCAATTTTCCCGCTCCACGTCGATATGGTTACTTACTTACCTCCCACTAGATCTGTCAAAATTGATTATAAATCCATTTATTAACCCATATTTAATAAGTTGAGTCATTATATGGTTAGCCGTGTTTAATAAATGGGTTATGGGTTTAGAATGACAAAACCCGAAAAATATAAATGTTAAATGGGCTCACAGTTTCTCAAAACCAACACACTTTTGTGACTCTCTCTTCACTCTTTATGAGAAGATAATGGACTCATTGGATTGTTCCGACTTCAAAGAAATTTTGGTGGACCCGCAAGATCAGCTAAACTTCACCCTTATTAAAATATGAAGACGGCTTTTTTTCCCAATTATTTATTTTTTTTATTAATCTTGTAAGTTTCGTCTATTAATTGTTAGAGAATATCTTTCTGGGTTGCATTTGGCATTGTTAGTTTTACGTAATATTCTAAACTCAGTTCTTGTCATTGCAATCCATGATTAGCATAAATAATCTTCTTTGATATCTTACATTTCATTTAATCAAAATTTCAATTCCTCCATATTATTTATTGCTATAATTTTATAAATTCACTACCAAGTACTAACGTTCTCTTATTCTTCATTGTGACTAAATACAAAAATTGAAAATTCTATGCCATGTTGAAAAACAATTCTTTAGCATCGTACAGTCTAAATAACGATTTCATCCATGTAACACGTACACATGAAGAGCTTAAAGTGGGTTAACCAAGTGAATACATATTTTCATAGGTTGGATTAAATATGAAAGTATTTTAGTAAATGGGTTGGGTCCAATATGCGTTAGATACGAGTCATTAAATTTATATAGCATATAAATGAGTTAATTTTGGTCAAACCATTTTCGACTCATCCATTTGACGGCCTTACCTCCCACTTCCCCTCTTCTCTACATCTTCTCTTCCACTTACCATCATCATCTACATAACTTTGTTCCAATCTCTGTGCTTGCTTCGCAATGTCAAGAGACCCAATAGCAATCCAAACTATCAACACCGCAAAAATAATCAGGCATGTCCGAAGCGGATGCATCGGGGCTAGTGTTGGGTGCTCATTTTTTGACAGGGCCATTAAGGGCCTGTTTGGTAACGTGCTAAACAGTGAAAATTTCTGTTCTTTTGTTCCCAGAAATAGTTTGGGAACAGAAATGCGTTTGGTAAATTTTTTGTTCCCGGGCACATTTTTGCAAAAATTTGTGCCCAGAAACAGTTTTGGAAGAGAAACAAGAAGTAAAAAAAAGTTGACTCTTATTTCTCGGCATAATTTTGAGAATCAGTTTTTTTTTCTTTTTCTTCTTTTTGTGTTGCTCTTCTTGGGTTGTGGTCGGTCGCCGGCGACCGGCCACAGCCCAAGGCCGGCGAGGGCGTCACGGCCCTCGACCGCCGCCGGCGGAGGCGAGGGTCCTCCCTGCCGGCGAGAGCGAGGGTTGGACCCTCGCCGCCTGGGCGAGGCGGCTCGCCGTTGATCATGGCGAGGCTCGGCCTCGCCAGATCTGGGCGAGGCCGACCTCGCCATGACCGATGGCGAGCCGCCTCGCCCAGGTAGCAAGGGTCCAGCCCTCGCCCTCGCCGGCAAAGGGGATCCTCGCCTCCGCCGACGGCCGACGAGGGCCATGACGCCCTCGCCGACCCTGGGCTGTGGCCGGTCGCCGGCCCTGGGCAACCGGCCATGGCCTGAGTAGAAAGAAAAAAAAATATTAAACAATTCAAAATATTATTAATAAAAAGAAATTTTATGTAGTTACCAAACACATTTCTGTTCTTTTTTATTCTAGGAATAGAAATTTTGGACAGTTACCAAACGCCTTCAAATGCTCAGAAATTATTTTCGGGCACAGAATCAAAAAGAATCATTTCTGAGTAGAAATAGTTCCCGGGTACATAATGGTTGTTATGCGCATCCTAATCATATCACTAACCGAAGAAGCCTGTGTGTTCCATGGGCCTTCCTACTAGTATCTCCAAAGAGAGTTGCAAAGCCCATTGGGCAAAGATGTAAATCGAAAGATAGAAAAGGTCCCGGAAATTTCTTAAATCAAAAAGGCTTAAGAAGAGCGAAATTTGCTTTTTGAAGTTGACGACGGAGCTTGAATAGGGACGTTTTACAGCTCGAGGTTCACATAAAGTTCAGTGAAAGGCTCTCGGGGCGTGACATCCGGGCTTCAATCGCGCAGATTTATTGCAATGTGTACTTAAGACATGATGAACCTTGGGAGCGTGCTGATCAACCGGAGAACATTCAAAAGCGTGCTCAAACTTCCTTAGTCTTTGCTTGGACGTTGCAATCAAATTTGGCAGGAAAAGCTTGCGGAACTTCTCAATATGGAACAGCACTTCCCATGGACGTCATCCACAATCTCAATATTACTTGAAGAGTAAACGTGGGACAAGAGAGCCGGACTACTATGTATTGACATTTCGATTGTAGTCCTTGAAAAAAGTGTGGTTTTGGACCTCTAGTCCATTAAAATCTATAGAGTAAAACTCCGATGTGATTCTATTATAATTAAAGTTAGAAATGATAGAGTAATCGTCCTTGTGTACACTATGTGGCACTTCACTTTAATTGTCACGTGGCAAGATGCATGTCATGGTTTTACAACACGGATTATGTTCAAGCGGTAAGCTTTTAACTCAATGACTTCTCATCTCCTTTTTTCTATCTCTTATTATGTTTAAATTTTTAGAAAATGGATAAAATGAAAACATATTAAGATTTTATTCATACTTGAGAGGCAACTTGAAAACAAATATATAAAAAAGTATGGGTAAGGGCAGAGTCGGTGAGCTTTAGTTTTTGCAACACCACAGCCAAGCAAAAAAACTTTTTCAATGGAACTTTTTGTCTACAATTCAAATATTTAGTTTAAATTTGAAAAAAATAGATAAAGAGAGAACAATTTTTAATCTATGGCCTATCAATTTCTGTAACTTTTCTTCGGTGAATTGCCTCAATGCGAAAACAAAAAATGCTTTATCCTATGGCAAAAATAAATTATGAGAAAACCCCGATCCAGAAAATCAACCAAAGTTTGCCCTGCCAAAATAATTTCGAGGGGGTAAATGACCGTCAGCACTTTCCTCTTATGCTGAGAAATCCCCAATGCCCTGAAAAGCTCATGAAGAAGAAACCTCTGAATCAGATGCCAAATCGCAAATGCTAATAAACATGAGGAACCCAGATCACGAAATTGCATGAGCATTGCAATGACCTCGAAAACAAGAACAGGGGTGGGAATCAAACGTACGAGCTTCGAAGCTTTTTGATCGATGCCCACGGAGGAAAATCCCAAATGGGAAATATCTAGAAAACCAAAAAATGTCTTCTCCAAGTGGGTTTTGCTTCGGAATGTGAGGCGAGAGAGGCAAGTAAGGAGGGAGATAGCGAGAGAAAGAGAGGGAGAGAATTGCGGATCAAGCTTGGACCCTGAAATGGCGAAGGGCCGATGGATGTGAAAAACGGGGGTCAGGAGAGAGTGTGCGTGTGTCAACTCACGAATCCAAATCCAATACACCGCCTTCTCTCTCTCCTCTCGGATACGCTTCGACGAAGCGATCCGGAAGATCTCTCTTTTTTACCAAATTTTCCCTCCTGTATAGGAGAGAGAGAGAGAGAGAGTGAGTGAAGAGCTACATTTGAGCAAGTTTCCCTTGCAAAAGGAAATCGCACAACTGAAGTGATGTTGTTGTCCACAAACCACATCAGCGACATGATACAGTTGTCATTTTATGTGGCGGTTAAATTTCAATTCTTATACATTTTTTATTGGCTTATTATCTCGGCACACGAAAATTCTTCTTTATTTCACGTTAATCGTACGTATTCAGTTCACGCATTTCGTTTACCTCGTACGTTGTACAAGCTTATTGCATAAAAAAAGGGAATTATACAGCACAAGGTATTTGTAAATTCATCATTTTCTTAGGAGATATGGCCAAGCAAAATTCGTTGGACTTTGCAATTCGCTAGATGTCACACATTTACCCGAAATCCGAAACAGTTTAATTGGAAAACATGGTCGGTTCTGCAGAAAAAGGAAAGAATGTGATTGGTTTTCGAAATTATTAAAGATTGTGTCCCTTCTTATTGGAACCAACACGTGGGAAAAATTTTCAAAAAATCATAAAACTATTGCATTTGTGTCAATTCAGTGCTAAACATTTCAATTTGGTCAATTTGATTAATTTGGTCATAAACCTTTTGACAATTTACCAATTAAGTCCTCTTAGAGGACATCCTAACATAGATACCGGTTGCCCTACATGGCACAGTTGGTGCTGACTTAAACAATTTGTGTAATTTTTTTAAAATATTTTTGAATTTTTTATTCCTTTGCCTTTTTTTCTTTGTGGGTGGCGAGGACACTGGTCGCAAAGGCCTCACTAAATTTGTGCACGCGGGCCCGCCAGCCACACGTGAAAAGGCCCTCGCCCAGATCTAGCAAGGCCTTCATAACTGGTGAGGGTAGCCGATGACCCTCGTCGGCACAATGAAAAAAAAGTAAAGAGAAAAATAAAAATTCAAAACAATAATAATATTTTTATTTTTTAAAAAAATTTTAAGAATTGTCACGTCAGCACCAACCATTTCATGTAGAATGACCGAAATCAACTTTAGTGATTTCCAATCAAAATTGGCTAAAAGGACTCAATTAGCAAATTATTAAAAAATTTAGAATTGAATTGGCACAGATACAATAAGTTTAGGACTTTTTTTGAAAATTTTTCCTAAACTGTGAGTGTGCAAGGTAAAAAAAAAATTTAGCACAAGCTTGCAATTTAATCAATAATTAATGTACTTTAAGATTTTACTCACTCACCGTCACCGTCCATACAGCTGCTTTTGTTGATCCCCAAATTATGAGTAAATGTTTTTAGGGTGAGTTGAATCCCGACCTTATGTTTAGGATTGAGAATCAAATTGATCAGTTCTAGAATCACCAATTCCTGAATGGCCAAAATTATCAATCGGACCATTTCATGCCATGGTAAAAAAACCAGATTCTTATGATCGATTGCACCATTTCACTATAAAAACATTCATTTGGTCAGGTAGTTATGCAGTTGTTTCTTCATGTTGAAGACCACGGTTTGATTCGTGATAGTTGCAAAATTTTAATCCAATAACTGGAATGATTAAACCGATTCCTAGATAGAACCGACTGTCCGGCCTTGGTATTGAAACTGAACAAGTCTTGGGCTAGTTCTAGGTTTGCGGGTCGGAAGCCAAACCAATTCTCCCTAAATTCGGCCTTCAATTAATTGGCTTAAGTCGGTTCGGTCCGATTCTACGATTGAGCCGAACCGGTGCTCACCCCTACCCCAAATTAAGATGGAAAGAAGTTAATCCCTCGTAACATTGCTCTAAAGTGTCAACGTCGATTTGTAAATTTATAATATTGCTTGATCTAGGTGGTCGGACTGCACACTAGAGAGACATATGCATAGGTCTTCCGCCTTTGGTTGGATTTCACCTCTGTTTACTCAATTAATCTTTACAATTATAGGCAAAGTGGTTGAAAGTTACATGGGTAAGTTTACCCTATGGATTTCGAGCACAAAAAAAAAAAACAAAATTTACCGTATGGATGGACATGTAGACTCACAAACGCCATTCATCGGAAATACAAGCTAATATCACGTCTAATAATTGAATTTTTTAGTGCAGTGACCGTTTATAATAAATATTCAGTATTTAAATATACAAAATTTACTAAAATTTAGGGACCGCTGACGGAGCTCCACAAAATGAGGCGGATTCCATGGCCTTGGTCAAAGTTGTAACGGAAGGGAATGCAAATGCATTTTGCGTGGTAAGAAAGAGCCACGTGTCCTTCATGCACTGCTCATAGCACCATGTGCTCTAAGAAAGAGCCATTTGTCATCCTCCATGCATGGCCCCCATCTTCACCTTGCTTATATGAAGGCCTTCCTTCTGATGCCCTCGTCCATCTTCAGCCTCTAAGGTAACATTAAACAAAGAGCTGAAAGAGCAGTTCTCATGGCTGATATGACCGGAAGCCACGTCGTCGTCGACTGCAACAACAGCTGCGGCTGCCCTCGTCCTTCCCCTGGCTCCGCCGCGTGCAGGTGAGGTGGTGGAGTCGACTCGAGGATTCCACAGCACCAGCAAACACGCGTCGGGAGCACATTTTGATTGCGTACAGCGTTAGCTACTCTGGTTTCTAGTGTTATCTAAGCGATTTCGACGCTGGTTGTTTTGTGACAGGTGTGCGGCAGCAGAAGGAGAGGACCAGCAGAAGTGCTTGTCCGGGAACAACTGCGGCTTCAAACCCTGCGCTTGCGGGCCGCCGGTGGCTGCCGCCGAGAACGAGCGGTTCTACTGTCGGTGCGGGCCGACATGCACGTGCAGCACCACTTGTGGTGCTTGAAGAAGCGATGTTTGAAGTATGATGAGGATCGATGATGCGTTCGCTTTGGCAAAAATAACTATAACCTTACTTAATGTTGAGAATGTTTAAGAATATGTTGACATTTGACCTTATAGTAAAGAATATGTCGGCATAGTTATATAGTTAAGCTCTTTTAAATACAAGTAATTTGAGACTATCAATGTAGGGCCGTTTGATTTGACTTTGGGAGAATGCAAAATATATTGCAAATACCTTTGGACTAAAGGAATTTTTCGAAATGCAAGTAGTGTTTGGTAAATATTTTTTAAAATCAACTTAGGCTAAAGGACTTTTGCTTTTTAAAAAAAAAAAAAAAAAGGTTCCGGCGGAGCTTAACCACCAGCCATCGCCGCCAACCAAATCTGGTTGCCGGCCACCACTGCCTCACCTCAAGCGAGGCAGCCTCAGGTCGTGCGACCTCAAGCGCCACCTAGGTGAGACCTTGGCGACGCCTGAGGTCCGGCGACCACCCCAAGAGGCGATCGCCGGGGTCGCGCGACCTTAGGCGTCAATCGCCGGGGTCACGCGACCCCTAGGCGGTGGTCGCCGAGGTTGGGGTCGGGCTAGCCCTGAGGTGGCGGTCACCAGGCGTCGGACCTACCTCCGGCGAAGATGAACAATTGCAATGAATATTGCAAATTGCATTCCGAAAATGCAACTTCTGAAGACACCTCCGCTCTTGCATTGGCCACAAGTCCCTTGAAAAGCATTCCAAATGCAATTGCATCTCCCCAAAATGAGTAAAAAAAGTTGCCAAATACCATTTATAAATGAGCATTCCAAATGCTGAACCAAACGGAGCGTAGTAGAATTTCAAAATTATAAAATAAATATTTTTAAATTAGAAAAGTGTCATCTTAAGCATATATTATATGATATTGTGCTCGACATCTTGTAACATGGCACTAGAGTCACTTTTATATATGTGAGATTGCGAAAGGGACTTTATAACCCAATTATGTCGTGATAACATGTTGAAAAATGACGGATGTTGACGGTTTTAGCTAAGAAATCAAAGACATTCGTGCATGCTTTTTTATTTATAAGATGTTTAAATTGATTAATAAAAAATGTAAATCGCATGCGAAAACATAGTAATGAAGATATCTTATAAATAAAAATCACAGGGAATCCATATCGCGCTTTTCTATTTATTGATGGCTATTTTTCTGACTATTTGTTTTTAATTGGACAAGCAAAATTATGCTGAATTTTTTTAGTTGTAACTCACGAAAATAAATTTCGTATATAACTTAAAATAGCTCAAGCGGGAGGACTTTTCCTTCGTCCAAGGGTGGATTTGTAATTCGTGATATAAGCAGTGGCATTTTAAACCGGAAAAAATTGTAGAATAGTACTATGATGTAAATCTCGAGTACCCTAATTTTACAAGATTTTCTGCATATAAGACAAAACAAATTCTAATTTGTTGAATGTCAGTCGGAATTAAGGCCATATATTCAATGCTGGCAAAAATTGCGAGAGGGATAAGAGCCACTACGACATGTTAGTTAATCGAGTCATCTTCAAGCAGCGTTCTTATCTATCTATCAATATTATATAGAAAGCAAAATTTTCAAATTTGATGTCTGTGATTTGTGGTGCATGTAATGTTGTCCCTAAACTGCCAATTTGTTCAATGTAATCCATGAATTATTAGTAAATATCCAATCTAGTCCCTAAACTATATGAAAATATTAATGTCGTCTTTAAGCTAATTCGATTTGATGAAATCCGCTCATGTGTAATCCATTAAAAATGTTGGAAAAAAATAAGTTACGTAATTCACATTATCGCACGATGGACATATTAACGCCCTAATTCTTTCTCCTTCTCTAAAGTAGATAAATAAAAAGATAGATATTGACTTGTCAATTTTAAAAATTCAATTCAACATATAATAATCTACGTTATCAAATAACGTCTAATTTGTCGTTCAAGTAAAACGGAAGGACTGCATGGATCAATAGTTTTGGGACCATGTTGAACAAATTAAAAGTTTTTTTTTTGTAAGGTAAGTAGTATATAAACTTTTCAGCGCGCAACTTACAAAGAGAAGCCGAACACAAAAACCTCGTACCAGAAGTGACACATAGAGGTGTCCCGACGGGTGCAAAGGTGTTATGACTTTGTCAAAAGGTGAACAACAAGTGCGCAAATAGCTACGGCCCAAACATTAGGCAACAAATTAAAAATTTATGGACAACATTTTACATTGAATCGAAATTTAGGGATTATTTGTATCATGTCATTGATGAAAAGACGAAAGTAACCCATTTTCTCATTAATTAATATGTTGCTAAAAAATGAGAAAAGAGTGAAAATGTGGTGCATGGCGGCGACCCACTCAATTTTCCCGCTCCACGTCGGTATGGTTATTTACTTACCTCCCACTAAATCTGTCAAAATTGGTTATAAATCCATTTATTAACCCATATTTAATAAGTTGAGTCATTATATGGGTTAGCCATATTTAGTAAATAGGTTATGGATTTAGAATGACAAAATCTGAAAAATATAATTGTTAAATGGGTTCATAGTTTCCCAAAATCAACACATTTTTGTGACTCTCTCTTCACTCTTTATGAGAAGACAATTGACTCATTGGATTGTTCCAAGTTCAAAGAAATTTTGGTGGACCCGCGAGATGGGCTTAACTTCACCCTTATTAAAATATGAAGATGGCTTTTTTTCCCAATTATTTATTATTTCTATTGATCTTGTAAGTTTCATAATTTAATTATTAGAGTATATCTTTCTGGGTTGCATTTGGCATTGTTAGTTTTACGTAATATTCTAATCTTAGTTTTTGTCCTTGCAATCCATGATCAGCACAAATAATCTTCTTCAATATCTTACATTTCATTTAATCAAAATTTCAATTCCTCCATATTATTTATTGCTATAATTTTATAAATCACTATCAAGTACTAACTTTCTCTTATTCTTTTTTTTTTTTTTTGGTAACCCAGGGAACCCCCGCACGGCCGACAGCCGGGAGGTAAACCCTGGGGGCGACACGTGCTAGCCACCACACACGTGCACCGGTTAAGTCACCCTGCGACGCCCGGGATTCGAACACTCAACCTTTTGCGAGAGGAAAAGTGCCCTTTCCAGCAGCGCCACCCAGGCGGGTGGTTCTCTTATTCTTCATTGTGACTAAATACAAAAATTGAAAATTCTATGCCATGTTGAAAAAACAATTCTTTAGCATCGTACAGTCTAAATAACAATTTCATCCATATAACACGTGCACATGAAGAGCTTAAAATGGGTTAACCAAGTGAATACAGACTTTCATAGGTTGGATCAAATATGAAAGTATTTTAGTAAATAAATTGGGCCGATATGTGTCAGATACGAGTTATTAAATTTATATAGCATATAAATGAGTCAATTTTGGTCAAATCATTTTCGACTCATCCATTTGACGGCCTTACCTCCCACTTCCCCTCTTCTCTTCATCTTCTCTTCCACTTACCATCATCATCTACATAACTTTGTTCCAATCTCTTTGCTTGCTTCGCAATGTCAAGAGACCCAATAGCAATCCAAACTATCAACACCGCAAAAATAATCAGGCACGTCCGAAGCGGATGCATCGGGGCTAGTGTTGGGTGCTCATTTTTCGACCGGGCCGTTAATCATATCACTAACCGAAGAAGCCCGTGTGTTCCATGGGCCTTCCAACTAGTATCTCCAAAGATAGTTGCAAAGCCCATTGGGCAAAGTTGTAAATCGAAAGATAGAAAAGGTCCCGGAAATTTCTTAAATCAAAAAGGCTTAAGAAGAGCGAAATTTGCTTTTTGTAGTTGACGACGGAGCTTGAATAGGGACGTTTTACGGCTCGAGGTTCACGTCAAGTTCAATAATTAATGTACTTTAAGATTTTACTCACTCACCATCACCGTCCATACTGCTGCTTTTATTGATCCCCAAATTATGAGTAAATGGTTTTAGGGTGAGTTGAATCCCAACCCTGTGTTTAGAATCGAGAATCAAATCGATCGGTTCTGGAATCACCAATTCCTGAATGGCCAAAACTATGAATAGGACCATTTTATGCCATAGTAAAAAAAACCAGATTCATATAATCTATTGCACCATTTCACTATAAAAACATTCATTTGGTCAGGTAGTTATGCAGTTGTTTCTTTGTGTTGAAGACCACGGTTTGCTTCATGAAAGTTGCAAAATTTTAATCTAATAACTGGAATGGTTAAACCGATTCCTAGATAGAACTGACGGTCCGGCCTTGGTATTGAAACTGAACAAGTCTTGGGCTAGTTCTAGGTTCACGGGTCGGAAGCCGAACCAATTCTCCCTAAATTCGGCCTTCAATTAATTGGCTTAAGTCGGTTCGCTCCGATTCTCCGATTGAGCCGAACCGGTGCTGACCTCTACCCCAAATTGAGATGGAGAGAAGTTAATCCCTCATAACATTGCTCTAAAGTGTCAATGTCGATTTGTAAATTTGTAATATTGCTTGATCTAGGTGGTCGGACTGCACACTAGAGAGACATATGCATAGGTCTTCCGCCTTTGGTTGGATTTCACCTCTGTTTACTCAATTAATCTTTACAATTATACACAAAGTGGTTGAAAGTTACATGAGTAAGTTTACCCTATGGATTTCGAACACAAAAAAAAAAAAAAAAAGTTTACCCTATGGATGGACATGTAGACTCACAAACGCCATTCATTGGAAACACAAGCTAATATCACGTCTAATAATTGAATTTTTTAGTGCAGTGACCGTTTATAATAAATATTCAGTATTTAAATATACAAAATTTACTAAAATTTAGGGACCGCTAACGGAGCTCCGCAAAATGAGGCGGATTCCATGGCCTTGGTCAAAGTTGTAACGGAAGGGAATGCAAATGCATTTTGCATGGTAAGAAAGAGCCACGTGTCCTTCATGCACTGCTCATAGCACCATGTTATCTAAGAAAGAGCCATTTGTCATCCTCCATGCATGGCCCCCATCTTCACCTTGCTTATATAAAGGCCTTCCTTCTAATGCCCTCGTCCATCTTGAGCCTCTAACGTAACAGTAAACAAAGAGCTGAAAGAGCAGTTCTCATGGCTGATCTGACCGGAAGCCGCGTCGTCGTCGACTGCAACAACAGCTGCGGCTGCCCTCGTCCTTCCCCTGGCTCCGCCGCGTGCAGGTGAGGTGGTGGAGTCGACTTGAGGATTCCACGGCACCAGCAAACACGCGTCGGGAGCACAATTTGCTCGCGTTCCGCGTTAGCTACTTTGGTTTCTGGTGTTATCTAAGCGATTTCGACGCTGGTTGTTTTGTGACAGGTATGCGGCGGCAGGAGGGGAGGACCAGCAGAAGTGCTTGTCCGGGAACAACTGCGGCTTCAAACCCTGCGCTTGCGGGCCGCCGGTGGCTGCCGCCGAGAACGAGCGGTTCTACTGCCGGTGCGGGCCGACATGCACGTGCAGCACCACTTGTGGTGCTTGAAGAAGCGATGTTTGAAGTATGATGAGGATCGATGATGCGTTTGCTTTGGCAAAAATAACTATAACCTTAGTAAATTCTCATGTCGACATTTGACCTTATAGTAAAGAATATGTCGGCATAGTTATATAGTTAAGCTCTTTTAAATACAAGTAATTTGAGACTATCAATGTAGTCGAATTCCAAAATTATAAAATAAATATTTTTAAGTTAGAAAAGTGTCGTCTTAAGCATATATTATATGATACTGTGCTCGACATCTTGTAACATGGCACTGGAGTGACTTTTGTATATGTGAGGTTGCGAAAGGGCCTTTATAACCCAATTATGTCGTGATAATATGTTGAAAAATGACGGATGTGGAGGATTTTAGCTAAGAAATCAAATACATTTCGTGCGTCCATTCTTTTTTTATTTATAAGATGTTTAATTTGATTAATAAAAGAATTTAAATCGCATGCAAAAACATAGTAATGAAGATATCTTATAAATAAAAATCATGGGGAAAGCATACCGCGCTTTTCTATTTATTGATGGCTATTTTTCTGACTATTTGTTATTAATTGGACAGCCAAAATTATGCTGAATTTTTTTAGTAGTAACTCACGAAAACAAATATCGTATATAACTAATGAAAAGTAGCTCAAGCAGGAGGACCTTTCCTTCGTCTAAAGGTAGATTTGTAATTCGTGATATAAGCAGTGGCATTTTAAACCGAAAAAAATTGTAGAATAGTATTATATTGGTAGATTAGGTTTATACTAAAGGGCATAATTGTCATTGTATTGTTTTTAGCCCTAAATCCTATGTATATATATTGTAAATTGTTTCATCAATGAAAGCAACGTTTTGCCCAAACTCTAGATGGTATCAGAGCGGTGATCCTCGAAGCTCGTCGCTCACGTCCCTTAAGCAATATCTAGTCCTCCTCTGATACGGTCAGATTGATTCTCCTACGTGGTTTGATTTCTCAGTGTCGTCGCTGCTTCCATCCAGCGGTCTGGTTTTGCTTTCTCGTCGAAATTCTCAAGATCTTGTTTGCCGGTGTTGATCTCTGCCTCCTGCGAACCTGTCTGCGATTTGCTGCATCCTCGCTCAGTCGCCATGGTAGACAATTCTCAAACCTCTTCAGCCATCGCTCCCGCACATGAGCAGCTGAATAGCCCTTATTTTATGCATCCTTCTGATAACCCTGGATCTAATCTTGTCGGCATGGTCCTCACGGGTGATAATTACAACAATTGGTCTCGTGCCATGGAGATTGCTCTTTCCGCCAAGAATAAGATGGTATTTGTTATCGGAGAAATTAAAAAACAAGCCGCAGCCGATCCTACCTATGCGTCATGGATTCGTGTTAACAATATGATTCTATCCTGGATTCTTAATTCCATCCATCCAGATTTGGTGCCAACGATTCTCTACACAGAGTCAGTTGCGGATGTCTGGGCCGATCTCCGCGAACGTTTTTCGCCATCGAACGGTCCTAGGGTTTTTCATCTTGGGCAAAAGATATGCACCCTTGCACAACATGACGATGCCGTGACCAAGTACTACAACAACTTGCGAAGTTGCTGGGATGAATTGAATAATTTGGATCCGTTACCGCAATGCTCTTGTTCAGCTCATTCTATCATTACCAAACAACAAGAGAATCGGCGATTGTTTCAATTTATCATGGGTCTCAATCTGAGGTACGCTAATGTTATTAGTAAGATATTGCTAATGGATCCATTACCTAGTGTTGCACGCGCATATGCACTAGTTCTTCAGGATGAGTCGCACCGCCATATCCAATTGGATCGCCCATCGTCCGATCAGACCAACACTTTGCTTAGCACTCACGGCAACCATACTCTGCGGCCATACGCGGATTCCTTATCCCACGGACAGCCCGGCTCTCTTGGCGCTCCCGTTTCGTCCGCCAACCTGGCTAAACGGACGAACACGTCCCGCGGTTGAGAAAGATGCCCCCACTGTGGCATCCCGGGACATACACGGGATGTGTGTTTTCGACTTCATGGCTTCCCTCCCAACCACAAGCAACGCCGTGGACAGCCATCTACCTCTTCTCGGCCCACAGACAACAAGTCCAACAATACTTCCGATGCGGGACCTCCTCCGTTCACAAATGATCAATATATGCAACTGATGCGTTTGCTGCAAGAGGTAAACATCCCAAAAGAGAACCTCTCAGGTAATGTTCTTGGCTTATCTTCGAGTTCATTTAATTCTGATACTTGGGTTATTGACACCGGCGCCACCAACCACATCACATTTGAACCCCGTCACCTTACAAACCCGACTCATTATCCCTCTCCACATCCCACCATTGGGATTCCAAATGGTGTTGGTGTCCCAGTGACATCACACGGTTCGGCCCCTCTTACCCCAACTATCTCCCTTGACAATGTCCTTTGCGCTCCCTCTTTCAAATATAACTTATTATCAATCTCCAAGCTCACTCAAACTTTAAATTGGTCAGTCACCTTTTTTCCTAAACATTGTCTTTTTCAGGACCTCTTGACGAAGAAGATCATTGGTCGGGGCCATGAGCGTGGTGGTCTCTATTATCTGGAGATTCCTACCGAACCTACCATCCTCTATACTGCAACTTCTTCACCTCAACTTTGGCACACCCGTTTAGGACATCCATCTGAGTCAGCTTTATCCACTTTGCAGCAAACTTTATGTTTTAGTCTAGCAAAACGATTGAGTCCATGTGATGCTTGTCATTTATCCAAACAAATGCGTCTGTCTTTTGCGTCTAGCACTATTACTACTTTACGTCCCTTTGAGCTTATTCATGTTGACATTTGGGGACCTTATTCTTATTTTACGCATCAGACATGTCGTTATTTTTTATCTATTGTTGATGACCATTCACGCTATACTTGGATTTTTTTGCTTACTTTTAAGTCTGATGCAATTAATTCTCTGATTCGCTTCTTTGCTTTTGTTGAGACTCAATTTCAAACCAAAGTCCAAAATGTTCAATCTGATAACGGGACCGAATTCCTTTCCTCTCGATTGCAAGAGTTTTTTCGCACCCATGGTGTTCACCACCAGCGCAGTTGCCATCACACTCCTCAACAAAATGGAGATGTTGAGCGCAAACATCGTCACCTGCTCAATGTTGCTCGTGCGTTACGTTTTCATTCTGGCATGCCTCTTCATTTTTGGGGTGATTGTGTCTTAACTGCTACTCATCTCATTAATAGACTACCTAGTCCTCTCCTACACAATAAAACCCATATGACCTTCTCTATGGCAAACCACCTTCCTATTCTCATCTTCGTGTCTTTGGCTCATTGTGTTACGCTTCTACCGGCCATCTTCACTCCGATAAATTTGGCCCCCGATCTCGCCGATGTGTTCTAATCGGTTATCCCACAAACCACAAAGGTTACCGTCTTTATGATCTCCAAGACCAAACAATTTTTACCAGTCGCGACGTCGTTTTCTATGAACAAGATTTTCCTTTTCGTCAATCAATCGACCATACCACATCAGAACATACTCCGGTAATTCCGTTACCCATACCCGATCATGGTGAAACCTCCCCTCCTCCCTCCACCCCGGTACTTGCACCGACCCCACCTCCTCAGCCCCCTGTACCCACAGCCGCACCATCACCCATTGCACCCGAAGACGTGCCTCGGCCACGCCGTCCACCTGGATACCTTTGAGACTACCACTGCGCTATTGTGGTCTCCGATCAATCCTCTTCGGACTCTAAGGTAACTGAATCAAGTAATCTTTACCCCTTATCCAACTGTTTATCGTACTCGCGTTTTTCACCCACTCACCGTGTTTTTTTTAGCCTCTATATCCTTAAAGCAAGAACCTGAAACTTATGACGCTGCGTGTCAATCTCCCAAGTGGCGGGAGGCAATGTCTTCTGAGATACAGGCCCTTGAACAGAATGACACTTGGGAAATTATTCCTCTTCCTCCTGACAAACAACCCATTGGATGTAAATGGGTTTACCGAATCAAATATAAGTCTGACGGCACCATTGAGCGCTACAAAGCTCGTCTCGTTGCAAAGGGTTACACTCAAACAGAGGGGATTGATTATCATGACACCTTTGCGCCTGTTGCTAAAATGGTAACCGTTCGCACTTTATTAGCTCTTGCTTCAATTCGTCATTGGCCTCTCTACCAATTAGATGTCAATAATGCTTTTCTGCATGGTGATCCTGACGAAGAGGTCTACATGAGGTTTCCACCGGGTTTTCATACTAAGGGGGAGAATTTAGTCTGTCGGCTGAAGAAATCACTATATGGCCTTAAACAGGCATCGAGGCAATGGTTTGCTAAATTCTCTTCTGCACTGCTTGATGTTGGTTTTCAACAGTCCAAGGCGGACTATTCACTTTTTACATTGGTCCGTGGCTCTCTCCTGACCATTGTCCTTGTTTATGTTGATGATTTGGTTGTCACGGGTGATGATGAAATTATGATTCAACTTCTCAAGCGATTCCTTGACACACAATTTCGCATTAAGGACTTGGGTACTCTCAAATACTTCTTGGGCATTGAAGTTTCTCATTCCAAGTCTGGGATTTTCTTGTCACAAAGGAAATACACTCTTGATATTTTGTCTGACGTTGGTCTTCTTGGAGGACGTCATGTTGATACTCCGATGGAACCCAATATACAATTTTCAGATTCCTCTCCAACTCTCAAGGATCCAGGTTCATATCGACGACTTATTGGTAGATTATTATATCTTACAGTAACTCGTCCAAATTTACTCTTTGCAATGCAACATCTTAGTCAATTTATGCACTCTCCTAATGAAGACCATTGGAATGCCGCACTTCGCATTGTGCGGTATCTCAAGCATGATCCCGGCACTGGTTTGTTTTTCCCATCCAATTCTACTCTCCAACTTAATGGTTATACAGATTCTGATTGGGCATCTTGTTCTACATCTCGACGTTCTGTTTCTGGCTACTGCATGTTTCTTGGTTCTTGTCCCATCTCATGGCGTTCCAAGAAACAAACCACTATTGCCCGTTCCTCAGCAGAAGCTGAATATCGTGCTATGGCGTCTGCCGCTTGCGAAATCACATGGCTTCGCACGCTTCTCTCGGATCTCCACGTCAACACTACCACTGCTGATCTTTTTTGTGATAATAAAGCAGCCATCCACATTGCCACTAATCCCGTCTTCCACGAACGCACCAAACACATCGAGATTGACTGTCACTTGGTTCGTGAAAAAATTCAAGATGGCACTTTGCGCACTCTTCATATTCCCGGTCACTCCCAACTCGCAGACTTGTTCACGAAACCGGTCACACGTGATTTATTTTGTACTTTTAAGAACAAGTTGTTGACATGTTTACATTCACCAACTTGAGGGGGAGTATTGGTAGATTAGATTTATACTAAAGGGCATAATTGTCATTGTATTGTTTTTAGCCCTAAACCCTATGTATATATATTGTAAATTGTTTCATCAATGAAAGCAACGTTTTGCCCAAACTCTACATACTATGATGTAAATGTCGAGTACCCTAATTTTACAAGATTTTCTGCATATAAGCCAAAACAAATTCTAATTTGTTGAATGTCAATCGGAATTAAAGCCACATATTCAATACTGGCAAAAATTGCGAGAGGGGTAAGAGCCAATACGACATGTTAGTTAATCGTGTATTTTCAAGCAGCGCTCTTATCTATCTATCTATATTATATAGAAAGCAAAATTTTCAAATTTGACGTCCGTGAATTTTGGTCCATGTGTAATGTTGTCCATGAACTATTAATTTATTCAATGTAATCCATGAATTATTGGTAAATATCCAATCTAGTCTCTAAATTATATGAAAATATTTAATGTCGTATTTAACTTAATTCGATTTGATGAAATCCGCTGGTGTGTAACACGTTAAAAATGGTGGAAAAAAATAAGTTACGTAATCCACATTATCGCACGATGGACATATTAACGCCCTAATTCTTTCTCCTTCTCTAAATTAGATAGATAAAAGGATAGACATATTGACTCGTCAATTTTAAAAATTCAACTCAACATATAATAATCTACATTATCAAATAACGTCTGATTTGTCATTCGAGTAAAACAGAAGGACTGCATGGACCAACAGTTCAGGGACCATGTTAAACGAATTAAAAGTTTAGGGACCATATTTTACATTGAATAGAATTTTAGGGATTATTTGTATCATGTCACCGATGAAAAGACAAAAGTAACCCGTTTTTTCATTGATTAATACGTCGCTAAAAAATGAGAAAAGAGTGAAAATGCAGTGCATGGCGGCGACCCACTCAATTTTCCCGCTCCACGTCGGTATGGTTATTTACTTACCTCCCTCTAGATCTGTCAAAATTGGTCATAAATCCATTGATTAACCCATCTTTAATAAGATGAGTCATTATATGGGTTAGCCATGTTTAGTAAATTGGTTATGGGTTTAGAATGACAAAACCCAAAAAATATAAATGTCAAATAGGTTCACAGTTTCTCAAAACCAATCCACTTTTGTGACTCTCTCTGTACTCTCTATGAGAAAATAATGGACTCATTGAATTATTCAAAGTTCAAAGAAATTTTGGTAGACCCGCAAGATGGGCTTGACTTCACCCTTATTAAAATATGAAGACGGCATTTTTTCCCAATTATTTTTTATTTTTATTAATCTTGTAAGCTTCGTCTATTAATTATTGGCATATATCTTTCTGGGTTGCATTTGGCATTGTTAGTTTTACGCAATATTCGAATCTTAATACAAGCTAATATAACGTCTAATAATTGAAAGTTTTAGTGCAGTGAGCGTTTATAATTAAAACTCAGTATTTAAATATACAAAATTTACTAAAATTTAGGGACCGCTGACGGAGCTCCGCAAAGTGAGGCGGATTCCATGGCCTTGGTCAAAGTTGTAACGGAAGGGATTGCAAATGCATTTTGCATGGTAAGAAAGAGCC